TGCACAGTTTGTAATAGCTAAAGCTTGGAAACAGCCAAGTGCCCATCAACTGGAAACTGGATAAAGAAGATGTGGGCTTTTTTTTTTTTTTAATATAAAATGGAGTACTACTCAGCCATAAAGAACGAGAAACTGGAGACATTTGTAGCTAAATGGATGCATATTGAGGCCATACTTGTAAGTGAAATAAATAGGAACCACATGTGTAAATACTGAGTAGTTTCTGTAGTGTGAGAAACTGAAAGTGTGAATGAGAATTAAAATGATTAAAACGAATAACTGACAATTTGAAATAGGAAGAAATGGTCCAAAGGGGTAGGGGTGGTGGGAGGGGAAGGAGAAAGGAAATGAGGGAAAGGAAAAATTATGAGAAAAGAAAAAAAATGGAAAGGAAGTCTATGTAAATAGGAAAGGGTGGAGGGGGTGAAGGGTGCACAGGTAATGGGGAAAAAAATAAGAACCAAGATTCATCATGTACAGGTACAAGCACCCAATGATAAATGTAAATGTATTGTGTACATAAAATGTACCAATAAAAGAACTTAAAGAAAATAATGGGCTACTGAAATGGATAGCTACTTCTCAGAAGAAGTACAAATGATCAATAAATACATGAGAAATGTTCAGTGACTCTGACCATTAGAGAAATGCAAATTAAAACCACACTGATCCCATCTTACTCCAGAAAGAATGGCTATCATCAAGAAATCAAATAATAACAAATGCTGGTGAGGATGTGAGGAAAAAGAAACCCTTCTACATTGTTGCTTGGAATGTAATCTACTATAACCACCATGGAAATCAGGATGAAGTTTCCTCAAAAAACCCTAAAACTAGAAATTCCATTCAACCTAGATATTTCTCTTCTAAGTATCTTCCAGAAAGAGTTAGATATCATATTATAGTAATACATGCATACCCATGCTTATAGCAGCACAATTCATAATAATTCAGTTTTACAAGTGATCCATATATGTGTCCGTCAACAGATGAATTGTTAAAGAAAATGTGGTATTTATACATAGTGGAATCCTAGTTTACCATAAAGAAAGTTAAACCTGAGTTGTTTGTAGAAAAATGTATGCACCTTGGGACCATAATGTTAGGTAAAATAAATCAGACACACAGCTTAAATATCACATGGCTTCTCTTATGTGATATATTCAAAATATAAATAAAGAGCAAAATAAAAGATAATAGGAAGATAATAGAAAGTGGGGAGATAGATCTTTTTCATATGGGAAGTGGATGAAGAGATGGAGGAAGATGGGAGAGAGGAGAGAGAAAGGGGTTGAAAGAAGAATCAAAATGTGTTACGTGCATGTATTGACTCTCTAGAAGGAATATAATCATTATGAATGCAAACTTGTACTAACAAAAATTAAAACTGAAAAAAATAAGAGCCTGATTCTGTTAAGAAATTTAGCATCCTGTATATATAGGGCATTAGGCATTGTGCTAATGCAAATGGGAAAGGTTTTCATTATTATTTAATAGTTCTAGCCTTCATAATAATTATTTAGTATTATAATTACTTTCTTCATTTTTAAGGTAGAAACTTTAATTTTTAGATATGAATTCAAATTCCCGTTCTTCCTTTACTTTTTTTTACTTGCACATAACAATATACACAAGAGCCTTTCAACTCATTGGCGGAGGAACTTGTTGTCATACCCAGAAAGAATCTGTCCAGGTCTCTAATTCCCATGAGCCATATATTTTCATAAACACGGAGCATTTAATTTATTTTTTGGCCCTTACCTGACGCTGCAGACTAGAATAGTCTTTCCAGGGCAGATTGATGGAGAGAGGCAAGGGCATGGAAGGGGAAAGGAAGTGATTATGAAATAGATTCTGAAAACCCACCTTGATGAGAGGAAGTGAGTATGTGGAGGTGATGGAAAGTAACAAATTATACACCCAGTAAACTGGAGCTCTTCACTGGACTAAGGCACTGTTGGTGTGGATGTGGTAGAGGCTGTAAACTGTAAAAGAGGAGGTGGACATCCAAGGGTGGGATGTTCAGAAGAGAAATTTCAGAATGGGGTATATTGGTCAATAAAATCCAAGGTGTAGTTGAAGATGACAGTTGAGAAGTCAGAGCCATCGATGGGTAATCTATATGAATGAGGATATCATGAGGACAAATGATAAGAGAAGTTGTGAGAGGAGAAGAATCACTAAATTCTAAATGCATCAATGAATGAGAATGCCAACCGTGAGATGGGTCTAATGGAAGGTACTGTATGGGAGCTGAGGATTTTTTTGATTAGGAGGCATGGAGTTAAAAAGTGAGATGATGCGGAAACAGCAAAGGAGCCAAAGAGAACATTGCCTCATCAGATAAACATGTTATAAATCACCTAACTCTAGAGACCCAACTGGAAACTTAAGGTTGGCAAGTTTTCTCTTTAGGTTTCACTTACACATTAAAAAAATCTTCACTCATACTTTAAAAAAAATCTTCCCACCCTTATTTTACCGCTTGACATAGTTTGTGTATGTGCCTGTATGTCTGTTCCCCCCTTTGGACACTAATTTCTCCTGTGGATAGATCCACCAGTATCTGGCTGGTATAAATGCTTAGTGAGTGTCAGATAAGGAACTTATTTAATTAAAATGAGTTCAAGGAGCTTTTAGGATTTTGAGTTTCCTCATGAAATTGAACCAGGTCTCTATGGAAATCTATGCTGGCAGAACCTTTGAGTCATGCTAAGGTTTGTGCTCTGAACTTTTCATATTGGCATCTATATTCCATCAGCATGCTCTTTTTCTTAAATCCTTCCATGTATCCTTCCCCATTACTGGGTCTCTGGTCTCCCATAGTGTACATTGAGGCTTCCACTCTGCACAGCTAACCCTCTGCAGGTGCTGTCCCATGAGCCTCCTAAAACGCACATCCACATGATTGTATAACAGGCTCCCTTGCATGAAATCTGAATTTAATATTACCTCTCTCAAGACAGAGCTGTGAAATCTACAGAAGCTCTTGCAGCAGGCTGGGGATGTAGCTCAGTGATGTCGCACCTGCCTGGCAAGCACAAAGTCCTGAGATCTATTCTCAGTAACAACAACAACCAAAAAGACTCAAAATGGTTTTATAATAGCTCAAGATCTTATAACTTAGTATTGAAACTCAGTCTTATGGCATTATAAAACTCGAGCCTCCTGCCTTGCCCCAAAATGCTTCTCAAAATTTTCTATCTAGTTTAGAAAAAACACTTCTCTTAACTCTACCAAGATATCTATGTGTAGGCTTTGGTTCACTGTTTTCACTTTCAACTTGAATGTAGTCTGAATAAAAATGACAAAAACAAATCAACTGCTATGGATCAGGAACCTGCACATCTTCCTGTCAGTTGAGCCTGACTTTAAATTACATGACCTGTGCTTTTATCCTGGGTCAGCCTTCAATGTTATTTCCATTGTAAACAATGGTACAACTGCTTGGGGTTTGGGAGGAAACACCTTTCCTGCATGGCTTGATCATGTGATAATGGGCAATTAGGATAACTGTGACTTCACTGTAATCATGAGTTAGGCAACCAGGCGGTTACAGGCTGGGTACAGAATGATCTCCTAAACCCAGTAGTCCTCCATAAGCTATTCCTATGCAGAAACCGAGGGCTTTTGAGTAGTAAACCTGTGCAGTGTATCATAGTGCTACCCAATGTGGTAGAACAAGCCTGAAGCTCATTTAAAATAGAAAGGGCCTGAAGAGATATGGATTGGAACCCTGGCCCTAACAATTTCTACCTGTGGGGTCTTGGGCAGATCATCTTATCACTCTTAGCTTCAGAGTTGTTATCAATAAAACATGGTTCTCATATCCTTTCTGCAGATTAATGATGAAAAACATATGCAAATGCCCCTATACTGGCTCCATAAATATTATTTCATAAAATGTATTTTTTTTCAGATTTAAATTCTTAATTGCTTCAGAAGTGGCTTTGGTGAGAAGTGGCTTGATAGTTTGAATTTCCCTTTTGGGTGGAATATTTTTAGTATATTAAAGGAAGGGCTTACATGGTTAGTTCAAGAAGATGTTTTTCTATTTTACATGTTTCTGTGGGATTTTAGATGTTGACTTCAGTTTTTCCAGCAAAGAAAAATAATGATATCTCTTAATATGTTTTTGCATATCTTAACACAGGCAACAACGGCCTTTGGTGAAAGTTATTGTTTTCAAGAAATTGGAGAATAAATAAACATGATTTTTATTATCACTCATGCCAACAGTAATAACCTCTCAAAGGTACAAAGGACTTTGGGGCCCATTATCTTCTTAGAACAAAATCTGCAACTCTCCTGTGAATTATGAAGATTAGCATTTGCTATTTACCTTAATCTCCACCGGATGTTTGAAAACATCAGCCTCTAATTAAATGTTTTTATTTTTTCACAAATTCATTTAAAAATACAATTCTTGCTGGGGGTTTACCTCAGTGGCTTCGCCACCTGCTGAGCAAGCGCAAGGACCTGAGTTCTATCCCCAGTACAAAAAACAAAAACAAAAACAAACAATTCTTGACTTGTTCTTTAGGCAAAACTGATTGCATTTATTATCTTCATTAAAATTCTATACCATACTTTGCTAATTTTCAACTTGCCCTCTACCTATATATCTATTAATCTCATCTGTCAACTCAGAATAATTGTGTTTATGCTGCCTGGAGTGGGTGATGTGTTTGGATATAGGACTAACAAGTGTTCTTTCATCCTCTGCAGTGCCACCGAACAGCTCTCAAAATAACAATATTGGTGCGCCTACAGGACCCAAAGGCAAATCCCTGTTTCAGTAAAGGAGAAATACAACAAAAAAAGAAAACAAACTACAGAGCTCACCTGAGCTGAGTAGGGTTCTATCCTGTTTATTATTCACAGAGTGCTGGTGTCCTTTCAGCCATGCTGTCCTTCTGAATGTGTTGCTTTAGTCCTGCTGTGCCCATCAAAATTCTTGTCATTACTGTGGGATTTATCTTTGTAATCTCTTGTACTAGGAAACAGCTTCCTGTGTATTGCTGGCCCCAAATATCCAGCAGAAGAGCAGAAGAGCCTCCGGTTAGCTCTATGTTTGTGTGTGGATTTGGGGGAATTACCTGGAAGGGGGTAGCAGGACATTTGTCATTTAGTTTTAGGTCATCAGTTTTCTAGAGTCTCAGTTTTGGAGGTAGGGATTAAATACCACAAAGACCAGTCAGTCCTTATTTATTCATTTTAAATGCAAAATATCATATAAGCAATGTGTGTTCATTTTTGAAAATTAGAAAATACATGCAGACAATGAATTTAAAAGTGTACCTTGACTTATTACAATTGTCTTATGTATTTTATGTGTTCCTTGGCCTATTAGTCTGGTTTTAAACCTGTAGATATAATTAACTTTATAAGTTCTTATAAATAAATGAATCTGAGGCTGGAAAACTAAAAGGGGGTGGAAGGAAGGGAAAAAAAGAATTGAAATGTGTTATATACATTTACTAATTTCTTACAGTGAATGTAATCATTATGTACTGCAAACATGTACTAATAAAAGTCAAAAAATTTAAAAAAAAGAAAATACATGCAAGTAAGATGAAAACAAGAAGTATAATTTTATCACCCTGGGATAGTTAGCAATTAAGTGTATATAGCTGTCCAGAGTTTTTTCTATGAATGAGATTATATCATCATTTACTAATTTTCTACTATATTATGAACTTTCCACATATAAAGAGATATTTCCATCATCATTTTTTTCCATCATTACTTTTATAGTGTTTCATCATGTCAGTTTGCTATATTTTAATAAAAAACTATTGCTGGGTTTTATTTCTTGTCTGTCACTGTTAAAAATAAGTGAGCATCCATATATTATATATATATATTATATATATATATATATATAATATATACATATTAACACCAAAATGATGTCCAAAACCTTCAGCACCAGGCAATAGTCCCCTGCCATTGCCCAAACTGTGGAAGTTCCCACTAGGGTATAGGGTTTAGAAATGGGATCCTAGTGAACCTGTATGAAATGAGGGTTTCTGTAGCACAATTCCTATTGAAATGTTTTCCCATGGCTCTTCTGTTCTCTTCATAGTCCTTGAAGTGACCAATTACCTGCTTCCAGTGATGGCTTCCTCCATTCGATTTTTTTGCCAAGACTCCAGGCCACAGCATCACTTATGATTCCCAGGATGTAACATACTGTCAAAGGTCCTCCACCAGTCTCTTGACTACTCACCATGTTTTTCCCAATAAAGCATTTTATTGCTTTATCAATGATCAAGTCCATATAAGAGAGAGCACTGCATTCTGATATGGACAATGTGGGGATTTGAGAGCTGCAGAAAGGGAAATGGAGGAAGAAGACAAACTACCAAAGGGAAATGTCCAGGATGGGATGCTCAATAAACTGGGTTTTTTTCCCCCTCATCTTCTGGAGTGATCCAAAGAAGAGGAGAAATTCAAAGAACCTACCACTTGTTACCATTCATGGACACTCCAGTTTCCCCATTTCATGATAATTTCACATACAAATGTGTTAGGAAGCCAACAAGCCAAAGTCAACAGCTAGAATGAGAAACTCAGAATTTAAGATGGCAGGACCCAGAGATACCACCTTCATTTCATGTGGAGAGCGAAGGGTTGAAACAACCCTGAAAGACTCCTAAGCCCCTTGAGATTCTTGAGTCAGATAAGAACATAATGAGCCAGGATATGAAACTGGTACAAAAACAAGGATGTTGACTTTTAAAGAAAACAACGAATATAGAAAGGATTTGAATGTCTGCTGGACAAGAAAGTAACATTCCTGGAATTGTAAAGATATATTTGACCTTTTCTCTGTAAAAATAATTAGTCACGAGATCATGAGGGGAGGAAGGGAGGGAGGCTGTGGGTAATGAAGGAGGATATATAAGAGGCTCAATAAAGTGGGAAGGAGAAGGCCCTCGCTCTCTCTCCTTTTCTTTTCTCCCGAGTTTGTGTTGTTTTTCTTAATCCTCACCCCTCTCCTCAGGTACTGTTTGACTAGTGACGGCTCGCTCCGTCACAAGTGGCGCCCGAACAGGGACCTGAGAATTGAGGACAAGGTGAAGGACACCGCTGGATTGTGAGCTCAGACAAGTAAGTACGGAGCGGCGATATAAAATATGGGGACTACTAGTAGTCGGATGCTGTTCGCTCAGATATTAAAAAAGATGCTCTGTAATCGGGGAGCTAAGGTTGCGCAACAGCAACTGTGTCACTTTTTAGAATTTGTAGAGAAAGTCTGCCCGTGGTTCCCCGAAGAGGGATCAATTGATTTGGAACTTTGGACTAAAGTAGGAAAACAGTTACAAGATTATTATGATCAGGAAGGGCCTTCCAAATTCCCTGTTGATGTGTTTAGTCTTTGGGGTCTTATCAAGGAGAGCTTGGATCGGCGTCAGGGGACTTCAGTGGGTAACTCACAAACAGACGTGGTTGCCTCTAGTCTGGAGGACATTTCGTGCATAGATAGAAAAACTGAGTGCCCTCCTTCAGGCCCCCCTCTTGTAGAAGGTTTAGATGAACCCCTTGACCCCTCCGATGCCATGGATCTGGAGGAGGAGGTGGCTGAGTATAGTAATGAGAAATGGCCTCCTTTCTCTCTGATAGCTCTTACCGAAGAAATGAAAGTGAAAAATAAAGAGGATAAATCTAAAAATACACATCCCTCAAATCCTTTGGATATGTTATGGTTTAATTGGAAATGGAATATTTACAGGTATAAAAGTGCTTTCATTTCTTCTGATTTTAATTTCAAGAGATCTTTGTTAATTGACTATTCCAAAGTTTTTGACCAGTCATACAATTATAAATCTAATAATCATAAAAAGGATATTATGATTAAATTTGGCTAAATATATTTGAGTGCACTCTAATTTATAAATTGTCTTATATGTTTGTCTGTTGTCTGTTGTTTGTCTGTACAGTTGAGCTCAATTTTTTTTTCTCTTTTCCTTTTCACTTTTTGAAAAAAATTTTTTAAAAAAAGATATTCACCTATTGTTAAATTGGCTTACAGATAAATGTTATTAAATTAAAGGCATGCCCTCCTTCCCAGGTTGCTAACTGATCAAAGTGCCACCGAGATTTATTTTATAAAAGTAATGTGTATTGTCACCTACATGCAATAATCAAATTGCA